TGCTTGGGAGGCTCAGGCAGAATTGCTTGTACCTGGGAGGTGGAGGTTGCAGTGAGCCAAGATCGCGCCACTGCACTCCAGCCTGGCCTGGGCAACAAAGTGAGACTCTGTCTCAAAAAAAAAACTACTCAGCAATAGTGAAATAATGATACATGCAACGACCCCCTTGGGAAAATGTCAAGAGGATTATGCTGAGTGAAAAAACTCAATCTTGCTTGAGGCCAGGAGTTCAAGACAACCCTGGGAAACATAATAAGACCTCAGTCACTACAAATACAAAATTAGCTGAGTGTGGTGTCGTGCATCTGTGGTCCCAGCTACTCAGGAAGCTGAAATGAGAGGACTGCTTGAGCCCAGGAGTTTGAGGCAGCAGTGAGCTATGACTGTATCACTGCACTTCAGCTTGGGCATCAGGGTGAGACCCTGTCTCCAAAAATTACAATAATAACAATATAAAATTAAAAAGCCAATGTCAAAAAATCACGTAATAGACACAGAGAACAGATGAGTGGTTGCGAGCAGTTAAGGTGGAAAGAGAATACGTGAACGTGGGTATAAACGGCCCTTGTCCATGTGCCCTGATTGCAGTGGTGGTCTCAGAAAATTCACACCTGAAAAAACTGCAAAGAAATACACAATTGAGAGCATGTAAAACTGGGAAAACCTGAAGAAGACAAGCAGACTATCAGAGTTAACACCCTAGTTGTGATGGCTGTGTCGTAGTTTGCAACTAGCTACCAGCGAGGGCAAAGGCACGAACAATAAGAGGAATCTCTATGCTGTTTCTTACAACTGTATGTGAATCCACAATTATCTCAAAGAAAGAAAGGCTTTTTAAAAATTTTAGGAGTTCTTCCACTTAATAAAAGATACATTCCAATTAATCCACCAACCCTATGTCATCACAAAGGAAACAGCAGAGAAAAATCAGCTGGGTTCTCAGCCACTTCTGCAGCTGAGGGAATTCAGTTTGATTCGACAAACACACAACAGTGCTTGGAGAATCTGAGCACCTACCGCCCACCCATACATGACACTCTGATTCACGACCATCACAGCCGGCAGGAAGGAAGTACAGAACCACGCCACTCCATTGTCCAATGTAGAATCATCTGTCACCATTGTAATTTACTCTAAAATATTTTCAGAAATCCCACATGAACAGCGTCCCTTGGGTATCTCAGGATGCGGAACCGGCCTGCCCCACTCTGGCCCTCCATACCAACCAACCCTTACGATTGCCAAGACCCCTGATATACAAAGTGGTGTGTATTTCATATAACCTGTGCACACCCTCCCCTGTATTCCAAGTCCCACTCTAGGCACAGTTCTCACACCTATACTTTCCCAACACGGGGACGCTAAGGCGGCAGGGGTCGCCCTGAGTCCAGATTCAACCAGCCGCGGGCAAACATGGCAAAACTCCATCTAACACAACTAAACAAAAAAAAAACTGCCCAGGCGTGTGATCCAGGCTTGATTACTCCAGCACCTTTGGGAGCCCAAGCAGGCAGACCCCCCCCCCTGCGAAGGATCAGGAGTTAGAGGCCAGCCTGGCAACCACAGTGAGTCCCTGCTCTACAAAAAATATAAATTAGTCAGGCATTGTGCACACACGCTTGCCCAGCTACTGAGGCTGAGGTCTGAATCACTTCGAGCCCAGGAGATCAAGCTGCAGGAGCCATATACCCCACTGCCTCGGCACCAGTGGAGAATCCATGTCAAAAAAAACAAATAAGAAAACATCTCTAGATACTATAACACCAATACAAGGTAAAGCTCTGTAATTTGTTCAATTAACCGTATTGTCTTTTCTATCTTTATATCTTTATTTGTGTTTGGTTTTATGGCGCTTCTTCCAATATTTTAATCCACATTGCTGAAATGTGGTTGGTAAACCAAAAGATACAGAGAAGCCACTGTAATTATTTCAACCACATATTGTAAACTAAAGAACAAAAAAAGGAAAACACAAACAAAAAATAAAACATAAGAAAACCAAGAATATCCTACAAGGTATCACTCCTGCTTGGGAGCAACGACGACCCAGGGTTTGCCTTGTTCTTCTGCCTCCTGTATCTTTACATCCCCCAGGACGTCACTATCACATCCAAATAAGCCAACGCTCCAACTACACAAATAAAAATTCATCTCAATTCCTGTATTTAAACCTTCTGAGGGCAAAGTCCTGATGCTTAATTTGGAAAAAGCGTACAATTTTACATCAAGCTGAACTTCTAGTGCTGTATAAATAGCGGAAAACCTCTATGACATATCAACGAGGCATCAACAAATTAAAACTCATACGCCCAAAAGCACCTTTTTTTTCTTTCTTTTTGAGACAGGGTTTCATTCTTGTTGCCCAGGCTGGAGTTCAATGGCGTGATCTCCGCTCACTGCAACCTCCACCTCTCGGGACCAAGCGATTCTCCTGCCTCAGCCTCCCGAGTAGCTGGGACTACAGGCATGTGCCACCACAACACGGCTAATTTTTTTATTTTTAGTAGACACAGGGTTTCTCCATGTTGGTCAGATCTCGAACTCCCAACCTCAGGTGATCCGCCCGCCTTGGCCTCCCAAAGTGCTGGGATTACAGCTGTGAGCCACCGTGCCCGGCCCAAAAGCAACTCTTGTAATAAAAGAATAAGAAAATCACATTAGGAAGGAAAACCATGAAGCATCTAAACTAGCTGGGCACTAAACACTACAATCTGACCATCTCCTACCCAGCAGCAAAACAAAATAAAAAGTAAACAACGTTCAGAACTCATTCTCAAATTTATACTTGAGCTGATCTAAAGCTTTGGCTGGCTTCCACAGTTACAGACAGAAAAATGTCTTTAAAATAATGGCACAGAGCCAGGCACAGTGTCTCATGCCTGTAATCCCAGTACTCTGAGAGGTTGAAGCAGGAAGACTGAGGCCAGGAGCAAGACCCCATCTCCACACACACACACACACAAACACACACACACACAAATTGTTTTCACTTAGCCAGGCATGGTGGCATGTGCCTGTAGTCGCAGCTACTCAGGTGGCCGAGGCGGGAGGATCACTAGATCCCTGAAGTTCAAGGTTACAATGAGCTGTGATTACACCACTGCACCCCAGCCTGGGTGACACAGCAAGACGTTGTCTCTCCAAAAACGAAAATTTAATTGAATAAAATAAAATAATGACACAGATTACATAGTACGGTCTGTTACTACATGAGCAAATTGGCAAATCCATTCTCCAGATTATACAAAACATACGAAAAGGGAAAGAATAAATTTCAGAAGCTGAAGACAGACACTATATTGAAAACCTTAAACTTTCTGGAACAAAACAGTCTGAATTTTATATTTCACTGGCATCAAGATTCTTTCTTGCTTTATTGTTACCTTTTTTTGTCCACAGGAGGCAGAGAAATGCTGCTGCTTTTCCACTTAACTTTGACATTCTCCTGAAAAACGGTTCTATTCAAGGCAATGAAATAGCGCTCCAAGATCAGCAGCCTCTGCTTGAGTCTCAGGGCTGAGAGGGTGGTGGTGGCTGACTGCACGGCCAGGGCCTGCTGCTCTTTAACCAGCACAGAAAGACACTCCTTCAGTTCATTCACATCTAGAAAACAAGACAAGAAAACATCTCCCCTGTGGACAATGTGGCCACCGTTGGTTGTGACGTTGAGAAAATGGATGATGACAACAGGTGGTACTGGAAGGCATGACATGTGGCAACAATGGTTTTAACCAGTTTACACATATGAGTTCAGGCAACCCTCACACCCAGCACGGTCAAGCAGTGCTGTCCATCCATTTTGTGGATGAGGAAACTGAGGCACTAAGTGGTTAAGCAACTTATCCGAGGCCACAGAGAGCAGTGCAGCACATGACAGAGACCACTCTGAGCCACCATGGCACGCTGCCTCTCTGGAAACATCATACAAAAGACGTTGGCCGGGCGCCGTGGCTCACGCCTGAAATCCCAGCACTTTGGGAGGCCAAGGCAGGTGGATTACTTGAGGTCAGTTCGAGACTATCCTGGCCAATGTGGCCACGAAACCCCTTCTCTACCAAAAAAAATACAAAAATTAGCCGGGTGTGGTGGTGCATGCCTGGGAATTCCAGCTACCCAGAAGGCTGAGGCACGAGAATTGCTTGAACCCAGGAGGCAGAGGTTGCAGTGAGCTGAGACTGTGTTGCTGCACTCCAGCCTGGGTGACAGAGTGAGACTCTGTCTCCCAAAAAAAAAGAAAAAAAAAGTCACTAACACAGAACTCTGAAGTCAATATTAGTCAATATTTCTCAGCAGCACATCTCCTAAACAGAGAAAAACAGCCATTATATTCATGTTGCAAAACCAAATTCAAAATAAAAGCGATGTCTTGATAAAATTATCCAACATGCATGACTCATGAAACACATTTATGGACATGTTTTAGAAGAAGACAAAGTAACCAGTTAAAATACACATTCTAACTAGCGATATTTCATTACATTATTCTCTCTACTTCTATGTATCTTTGAAAATTTCCATACTAAGAAGTGTTTTATAAGTAGCTAGAAGGCAATCACGTGAGTGAAAATAATTCAAAGGATTCTGGACTTTCAACTAAGCATACATCTACCTCAGAATACAGATCATTATAGGGAATTGTAAGTTACCTCCCACCAATCCCCTATAACAGCACAGCTCCCAGTGGCGGGGTGAGAGCTGGGCTCTTCTGTGCTTGCCTGTCTGCTACTTATTAGCCTGGAGACCAGCAGCCACCAGCTTCGCAGCCCTGGATCCTCACAGGTAATAGCAACATCCCTACTGGCTGCCTCCCCTTTCCAGCAACCCATTACCTGGATATGCTCTCCACGGGATGGAAGGGACCTCAGAAGGCATTAAAGAGACACATCTCACCACTCCCTAGAAAGGCACAAGATGGCGCATACTGTGCCCAGCACCAGCAGTAGGATGTGAGACCTGGAGCTTTGCAGCTAAGAGCTAATAGTTATTTAAAACTACATGATTATGATAACAGTACACGTGTTCTGCTTGAATTTACTAAATTCTACTGCTGGCTTATAATTAAATCATGTGATATTCCACGTTTGGATATGCTTATTTAATTTTTACAGAAAAAATGTTAAAATTATTTCACATAGCCATTTGTTAAAGCACAGCATAACTCAGCAGACTTGATTTAATCTGTATCATCTTATATATATCACAATCTTATTTTTAAGCACATTTAAGAGTTATTCAGTTGCTTTATCAAAAACTACATACTGCTTTTACATGATTTAATAATATATAAACCTCTTGATAAAAAATGCACAAAAAAATAAAAAAAAATACATGAAGAATACTGAATTGCACACTGGGCTCAAGATGAAGAAGCGAAAGACTGACAGGTAAAGCAGTGCCCCTGCCCTTCTCTGGGCATCCCCACCGAGCCACCCTTCAGGCAAGGAGGCTGGCCCAGCACTTCAAGGGCCAAGCCCTTCCTGAAGACTCCCTGTATTTCCACTTTTAAATAATACATCTCCCTTCTGCTTGGCTGCGGAGCTCAGAAACAACCCCAAAGCTCTAAGAGCGCAGCTCTGCCCTTGAGCACCCCCGTGCCCTTCTCCCTGACACCTTCCCACTTATTCCGTCGCAATCCTGACTGCCCAGTCCATCAGTTATGCATGCTCTGAAACAGTGGGTGAGAACATGCACAAACCATGGACACTACTGGGGAGTCAGAACTCCCACCCCTGCCTCACAGTAACCAGGGGCCTCTAGGCAAAGTGGGAAGTCTGGACTTCCTCTCGAGCTGCTAGTGATGAGGTGAAGCACGCCCTATCCCAGCCAAAGCAGGGTCACAGAAAGATTTAACCACTTACACAGAACACTTCAGTAAGACCTAGAGTCGCCTAACAACATGTTCCATTGAGAAAGTCACTCATGGCCCGGCGGCGGGTGCTTCGACGCCGTGCCGTGGTAATTTCCAGGGGGACTTTTGGGAGAAGCCGAGGCGGGGGGCGGATCACGGAGTCAGGAATGTCGAGACCTCGCTGCTAACACGGGGTGGAAACCCCGTCTCCAGCTAAGAAAACTACAAAAAAAAAAACAACTAGCTTGGGCGGAGCGGGGCGGGCGGGGGGGGCCGCGGGGGGGGCCTGGGGGGGCGTTGGGCGCGCGCTGAGTTCCCAGGTACTCGGAGCTTGAGGCCGAGGGGAGAATGGCGGGGTGGAAGAGGAGGCGGAGCTTGAGGTGATGGCTGAGATGCCGGCCACTGCCAGCTCTAGCGCTTGGGCGACAGAGCGGAGACAGCCCCCCCTTTTCCGGCCCGTTGCTCGCAAAGAAAAAAAAAAAGAAAGGAAATGAGTTCACTTCATGATACAAACCAGGAAGATCTTAGAGAAGCCAAGCAGAATTTTAAAAAAACAAATCTAGAGGAAATACCACAATGGCCCGGCGCGGGGTTGGCCTCAAGCCGGTAAAGTTTCCTTAGCGGTACGTGGTTGGACCGGAGTGCAGAAAGTTCAGCGAAGAGCGTCGAGGGAGGATCGGAGGACGCCACCTGGGCTTGCACGGGTGAACCGCGTGGTGCTGTATAAAAGATAACAAAAAATTAGCCCGCGCGTGCGGTGGCGGGCGCCTGCGAGGTTCCAGCTACTCGGGAGCTGAGGCAGGAGAGGGGGAGACTTGGTGTGAACCCAGGAGGCGGAAGGGGCGCTTGCAGTGAGCTGAAGATCGGTGCCACTGCACTCCAGCCTGCGGTTGGACAGGGAGGCTAGCTGCGTCTCAAAAAAAAAAAAAAAAAAGAGAATACCAACAATGAAAGATGTTGGGTCATAATTGGTGGCAAATTAATAAAAGCAGCCATGATAAAAAAGGTTTCCAACAAGCAATTACAACACATGTGAAATAATGAAAAACAATAGAAAAGCCCTAAGAAAGAAAAAGGAGAGAAGAAACAAATAGAATTTTAGAACTTTGGAAAAATACAATAACCAAAATAAAAACTCAGTGAATGGAAATAGCAGTAGAATGGAGGAAAAAGGTCAAAGAATCAGTGATGGAAAAGATAGAAGTTACTCAATGTGAATAACACAGAAGAAATACACGCCCCCGAGGCGGGGCGTGGTGGCTCACAGCTGTAATCCCAGCACTTGGGGAGGCTAAGGTAGGCAGATCACAAGGTCAGGAGTTTGAAACTAGCCTGGCCAACATGGTGAAACCCGATCTCTATTAAAAATACAAAAATGAGCTGGGCATGGTGGCAGGCACCTGTAATCCCAGCTACTCGAGAGGCTGAGACAGGAGAATCGTTCGAACTCGGGGGGAGGCGGTTGCAGTGAGCTGAGATCGTGCCATTGCACTCCAGCCTGGGAAATAGGGAGCGACTCCGTCTCAAAAAAAAAAAAAAAAAAAAGGCCCCCCAAAAAAAAAAAAAAAAAAAAAAAAAAAAAAAAAAATTCCCCCAAAAAAAAACAGTCTCGGAGACCTATGGGACTGTAACAACTCTGGTCACTGAACTCAGGAAGGGACAGGAGAAAGAAGGCGGGGTTGAAACTGTACTCTAAGAAGTGATGGCTTAGAAGTTCCCAAATTTGGCAAAAGACATAAATCTACAGATCTAAAGTAAGCAAACCCTAAACAGGATGAACCCAAAGAAATCCAATCTAAGACATATCATAATCAAACTCCAAAAAACAGAAGACAAAACATTTCAAAAGCCACTAAAGAAAAACAGTACCTTTGCTATTGTGGATTAACAAGTCAAATGACAGCGAATTTCTCATCAGATACCATGGACCCTGGCTGAAAGTACGAAATATTTTTCAAATGATGAAAAGAACCATTACCACAGAATTCTTATATCCAGGAAAAATGTCCTTCAGGAATGAAAAAGAAAGCAAAACATTCTCAGAGGAAGTAAAACAGAATTTGTCACCAGAAGACACACACCAAAAGAAAGGCTAATGGAAGTTCTTTAAGCAGAATGGCAACCATCAAAGAAGAAAACCCTGGAACTTCCAGAAAGAAGAGCATGACACGCACACCTATGCATAAATACAATACACTTTTTCCTCACCTCTTGACTTTGCTAAATTATGTCTGAGGGTTCAACCAAAAATTATAACACTGTCATATGTGCTTATCAATGTAAGCAAATGAAATACTTAAGGCAAATATATTATGAAAAGGAGAACATAAAGGAACATAAAGGAAGGTAGTTTCTATATCCCAGAAGCTGGTAAATGACAACACTAGGTACAATCTGATAAGTGTTCATACACACACAGGTTGAGTGTCCCTTACAAAACGCTCAGGAGCCCAAGTGTTCCACATTCAGATTTTTATCAGATTTAGGAATATTTGCATGTAAATAATGAGATATTTTGGGGATAGGACCCAAGTCTAAATACATTCATTTATGTTTTATACATACCTTATACACAGAGCCTGAAGGTAATTTTATATAGAATGCTTAATAATTTTTTGTATGAAACAAAGTTCATGCTAAGTACTTATGAATGGAATTTTCAACTTGGGGGCATCACGCTGGGGTGCCAAAAAGTTTCAAATTTTGGGGCATTTCAGATTTTGGATTTAGGGTTCAGAGATGCTTAATCTGCATG